AAATAAATCAGGACTTTAGTGAAACTACATAGATACAGAAGAGGCCTAATCACTAAATCTTCCACTTACACCATTGGAGGAATGTAACCTTACTTTACTTCTAAGGGAAAAGCAAAGTCTTAAAATTAACAGAAATCAATAAGAAAATAGAAAAAAATTAAAGAATAGAACAACAGGAAAATAGTATAATCAGACAACTCAGAAAAAAATGCACAGATGTCCAAGGAACGCTTGAAAGATGTTCTGAATAGAAAAAAATATATGGAGAAAAAATAATACGAGAAGGAAGTATTTAAAATAACTGGGCTTACAGCGGATAGAGACTAATGGAAGGAAGTGGATGTGATCAAAGTAAATTACATGCATGTAAAAGAAAATGGGAGCCAGGCACTAGTAGCTCACACCAGTAATCTTAGCTACTAAGGAGGCTGAGATCTGAGGACCATGGTCCAAAGACAACCCAGGCAAGAAAGTCCATAAGACTCTTCAGTTCACCACCAGAAAACCAGAAGTGAAGTTGTGGCTCAAAGTGGTAGAGCACTAGCCTTGAGCAAAAAAGCTAAGGGATAGTACTGAGGCCCTGAGTTGAAGACTAACCAATGAAAATGGGACCTTTTCACTTAGTTGTTTTTCAGATGCTCTTATTTAAATAACCAGAATTTCATGAGGGGCATGCTTACATTTGGTTAGAAACCTTTCTTGAAATATTTGTAAGAGAGCTTTTGCAAACAGCTAGTGGATAGTGCCAGGCACGATGGCATGTATCTGTAGTCTCAGCTACTTGGAGGGCTGAGGGAGGAGAAGCACAAGTTTGAGACAGTTGGGCAATTTTGGAGACTCAACAGGCTGAGACTATGGTAACAGGCTTGTCTGGCAGGTGCAAGGCCCTGAGTTGTATCCTCAAAACTGGCGGGGGTGGGGAGAGGAGGTGGTAAAATGGTGTGGTTTGTGTTTGTACTGACTGGGGTTTGAATTTGAGGCCTGAATACTGTCCCTTAGCTTTTTCACTCAAGGATAGCACTTTACCACTTGAACCACAGCCCCTTTTTTGTGTTTTTGCTGCTTGCTTAGAAGTAAGAGTCACAGACTTTCCTGCCCAACCCGGCTTTGAATCACAATCCTCAGATCTTCTGAGTGAATAGCTAGGATTACAGGCATGAATGAGTCACCAATACTTGGCAAGAAAAAGTTTTTAAAATGTTGGTAGCACAGGGAAATGATTCAAAAGATTAAACACTACAAAAGGCATTTGCTTTTCTCCAGTGAAAACTTGGCAAGCTCTAAAAGGGCAAATTATGCTCTATCCTTCTGATGGAAAAACATGATATTCCATGATTGAAACTGAAAAGAGTAATGTGGAAAAATATGCTACATAAAAATTAGAATATATTTGGGCGCCGGTGGCTCACACCTGTAATCCTAGATACTCGGGTGGCTGAGATCTGAGGATCGAGGTTCAAAGCGAGCCCCGGTAGGAAAGTCTGTGAGACTCTTATTTCCAATAAACCACTCAAAAACTGGAAGTGGCGCTGTGGCTCAAGCAGTAGAGCGCTTGCCTTGAGCTGAAAAGCACAGGGACAGCGCTCAGGCCCCGAGTTCAAGCCCCACTACTGACCAAAAAACAACAAAAAAATTAGAATATAAAACTGTATAATCTATTTTCAAAATTCATGTGAGGGGCTGGGAAGGTGGCTCAGTGGTAGAGTGCTTGCCTTGCCGGCATGAAGCCCTGGATTCAATTCCTCAGCACCACTTAAGCAGAAAAAGCTGGAAGTGGTGCTGTGTGGCTCAAGTGATAGAGCACTAGCCTTGAAGAGCTGAGGGACAGCGCCCAGGCCCAGAGTTCAGGCCCCATGACCAACCAAAAAAACAAAAAAAAAAAAATATGATACAAGAAATCAAAATAGTTTGAAACATTGTTCGCAATAGGTGATAAAATCTTGCTTAATATTCTTTCACATTTTCTACATTTGCTTTTATGAACTAATAAGAAGGAAATTCCTGATTGAAGGTACATTTCAGTGCTAGAGCTTAGTAGGCTCTACCTTCAAACCCCAGAACCAAAATTAGCAGCAAGAGGATTAATTCAGTAGCTGTGGGATTTAAGCAAGAAGCATTGTTGAGTTGCATCTGCCTCCCAAGAGATCATGACCATGAAAAAAATCGCACATCTTTTCCCATAATGACCTCCTTTCCTTGTAGGTCCAGTCATTACACTTCCCAAACGGCAAGCAGCTGCTGGTTGGGTACTGAGCAGGAGCTTCTTCCATGGCAGCCTGCACTATGCTCTCTCCAGTTTTCAAAAACATGGTGTTGTCTGGTTGCTAAAAGGAAATAAGAGGGGACAGAGAGGTTCTGGAACATGCAGATTGATTCCAGAACTCCCTTACATACACACACACACACAACTGACCTATTTCCTATTTACCTATCTTCATAGAAAATGCAGACTAGCCGGGCGCTGGTGGCTCACGCCTGTAATCCTAGCTACTCAGGAGGCTGAGATCTGAGGATCGCGGTTCAAAGCCAGCCCGGGCAGGAGAGACCGTGAGACTCCTATCTCCAATAAACCACCAGAAAACCGGAAGTGGTGCTGTAGCTCAAGTGGTAGAGCGCTCGCTTTGAGCTGAAGAGCTGAGGGACAGCGCCCAGGCCCAGAGTTCAAGCCCCACGACTGACAAAAAAAAAGAAAATGCAGACTAAAAATGAGCAATCAAGTGACATTTTAGAATATTTCAATAAGTCATTTAAAAGAATGCCAAGGTATGTTTACTCCAAGTTTTGCACTAGTTTTATGAAAATATTTACATTTAAACTAACAAGACTTTCTTGTGGTATGAAATCACAATAAGCTTACACATGTCCAGTTTCCATCAGTTTATCGAAATGAAGTTTTGTGGGACTTGGGATTTTGTGTGTGTGTGTACTAGGGTTTAAACTCAGGCATGAGCCCTGAACCTTAGCTTTTTCACTTAAGGCAAGCATTCTACTACTTAAGCCATACCTCCACTTCCAGTTTTTGCTGATTAATTGGAGATAAGAGTCTCCCAAGATGTTCCTGCCCAAGATGGCTTTGAACCACAGTCCACAAGTCTCAGACTCCTGAGTAATGAAGTTTAAACAATATGCATAAAAATAGGGGGCAAAAACCGGAATGTACTTGTTTGATTTTGCAGCACCAGGGATGGAACCCAGTGCCCACACATGCCAGCCAAGTGCTCTACCAGTTGAACTAACTCCACAGTTCTAAAACGATTTAATAAAAAAAAATTTGTTGAAGTGTGCCTCAACCTTACTAAAAGCAAACAATCTTTTTATCAATGGAAAACACTTTAGAAAATGCATGTACATGTTTTCTCTAATCCTAATAGCCCTTTTAGGCTGGGGGGCATAGGTCACTCCTGGTCTGCAACCAAGTTAAAAGCTCATGGAAGGATAAAAACATTGGTCCCATCACCCACAGACGGTTTCAGTGCTGCAGCTCCAAGCTCTCAAAACCCTGGAACACATCTGTTTGAAAGCACCCATGAAACAAGGGCCAGGAGTAATGGCTTGTGCATATAACCTAATCCACTCAGCTGAAAAAGAAGCATCATGGGTTACATATTCAGGCCCTGATGAAAGAAGGAAAGAAAGGGAGAGAGAGGAAAAAAAGAGAAAAGAAAGAAGGAAGGAAGGACACACAATACAACCGCTATATTAAGTGTTGACCGTACATTTATTTAATAAGCTAATATTTAAAACAAGCAGGCGCCAGTGGCTCATGCCTATAACCTAACTACTCAAGAGGCTGAGATCTGAGGATCATGGTTCAAAGCCAGCCCAGGCAGGAAAGTCCATGAGACTCTTATCTCCAATAAACCACTAGAAAACCGGGAGTGGAGCTGTGGCTCAAAGTAATAGAGCACTCGCCTTAAGCAAAAGAGCTGAGCTGACAGTGCCCAGGCCCTGAGTTCAAGCCCCACGACTGACCAAAGAAAGAAAGAAAGAGAGCAAACCGGAAGTGGCGCTGTGGCTCAAGTGGTAGAGCGCTCGCCTTGAGCTGAAGAACTGAAGGACAGCGCCCAGGCCCAGAGTTCAAGCCCCACCGCCGACAAAAAAGAAAGAAAGAAAGAGAGCAAACTATTTCTCTGTAAGACTATCTCAAAACAATCGAAGGGATCCATTCATTTGCACAGCCTCTGAGGTCCAGTCATTAAAGAAGCCGAATATCTTGGCATCTGTCAGCCGCTTCAGCGACCGCCGTCTAAGCCTCATCCTTTTGGGAATGTGGCACCGATGGCCTCTAGCGGAGCTGCTAAGGTGACACCCACTTGCGCCCGCAGGCAGTGGAGCTCGCCCACGCCGTGGCTCCCGAGCCCCGCTCCCCACAGCCCCGTGCCACCCTTTCCTGCGTAGCTGCGAATGGCCCCGTCCTCCGCGGCACCCGTGGCTCCACAGCCAACGCCCACTGTCGTCCGGTCAGGGGGTCCCTGGGCTGTGTCCTCAGTTTCCACACGAAGGAGAGGAAGGGGAACAGCGACCACACAGTCCTGACGATGAGGGGCTTCCAGAAAGTGCGGAGGGCACGCGGAGGACGGCGGATCCGCGCGAGTCCGGGCTGCAAAGCGCTGTCACGCCAGCACCCTTGCCTCCAGCCCTTGGGGAGGCCGCCAGAGAGGCGCCCCGCCCCCGAGGGCCGAGCCCCGCCCCGATCGGAGCAGCCACGCCCCCGAGGGCCGGGAACACCTCCTTCCTGAACGCCACGCCCCTTCGCAGCTAGCAGTTACGCCCCGAGGGCTGGGAGCCCCTCCCTTCCCATAACGCCACGCCCCCTCACGGCTTGCAGACCCGACTCCAGGGCCGGAGCCCCGCCTTGCACGACCGCACAAGGCCACGCCCCGAGCCCCGCCCAGCCCCGCCCTCAGAGAGACTGACAGGCCTAGCCTCTCCCGGCTCAGGCTTGCCTCCTTAGCAACCAACGCGACTCTTTCACCTTAGCAACCAGCGCAGCTACTACCATGGGCGAAGAGGAAGGTGCTAACCAGGCCGAAAGAGTTATCCGAATCCAGAGAGTGTTTATAAACCTGCTGGACACCTACAGCAGCAGAAACATTGGAAAGGTGAGCGGCAGCGACCCAGAGCCAGCCTCCCTCACCCGGTCCCCAGTCCATGTCCCGGGGCCTCCCCAGGGGAGGCCCTACGGCCTGGGCACCATCAGGGCCTCCAGGACCCCAGTACACAGCCAGCCTCGGTAAGTCCCCCCACCTGGAAGGAAGCCCAGGTGTTTGGAGACTTGCAAAAGGAGAAAAGATACAAACAAATCTAAACACAGAAACTTTTTTTTTTAAAGAAAAGAATTAAAGGGGTTGGGAAGGTAGCTCAGTGGTAGAGTGCTTGCCTTGCATGCCTGAGGCCCTGGGTTCGATTCCTCAGCACCACATAAGCCGGAAGTGGCGCTGTGGCTCAAGTGGTAGAGCGCTAGGCTTGAGCTGAAGAGTTGAGGGACAGCGCCCAGGCCTAGAGTTCTGGCCCCATGACCGGACCCCTTCACCCCCAAAAAAAGCATTAAAAATGACAGGATAGGCTGGGGATGCAGTTCAGTGGCAGAATGCATGTTTAGTATGCACAAACCCCTGGGTTCAATGCACAGGACCTTCCACCTACCCATAAAGGGACAAAACAGTCTTATTTTATTGATGTAGCTACAGAGAGAGACAGCATATGGAGAAAAACAAGATAGGTATATATCAGATAGATGTCATATATATATATATATATATATATATATATATATATA